ACAGCGTACGTACTATTTAATTTATTTTATAAATGCCGTTAATCTTATCAAATTAGATGTCCGATTTTACATGCATACCACAGATTCGTGTCTACGGTTATTTTCAAAGCAATGATTTTTTTAAGTCCTATATATCACGTATTATTAGCCATCCTGAGGTCGAGAGAAAAGCTGCGTCGAAGTTGAGGGAAAAACTGTATTTTTGGACTGTTGTAGGGAATATATTTCAAAGATGGCGTCTATTTCGATCGCCCCTTAAAACATCCCAAAAATGCATTGCAGGCAAACTCGACCTAGTTTTTTCTCAACCTTGGATTGGATTATATGCTATTGTTTTAGATCAGATGACAGCTTTACTGTAAAAGGGGCAACACATAAGAAAACATCCGTATTGTACGAACAAAACAATGGATCACAGTAAAAACACGCAGACTGGTTTTCATATAGCAATACACATTACCTTCTGTCACAATCAAAGTACAAATAAAAGCACGTGCAAAGCTGTTTCGAACTGTGGTTGTTTGACTGATGACTGATGACTTGTGTTTCGGTAAGAAAAATAAGGAAATACTTCTGTATCAATTGATGGCATGTAATGAACTTTTTTCAAATTCGAGTGTTCATCATCGAGTGTTTTCCGGTATCACTCTASAAAACTCTTGAATTGTCAAGAATTTTCTATGCAGTCTGGGTTTTCGCTTTTTTATTCAAATAAGTTTGCGSTGAAGTTGCTGTTTCGAAATGTAGAAAAACAGTAAAACATACAAAGCAAGTGATACACCAAAGGCTCCTGATCAAAAAGGTTAGTGTCTTTGTTTTATTTGATTCATTAGTTAATTCATTCTACGTATTAGTAATATATTCTCACTGAAGCCATTATCACGTCGCAGTATGATTAAGTTATGGGTCGAGATGCGCTCCTTGTCCCTGACAATACAACGAGATGGTATATAGCCAAACTCCAGTCGTAATAGTGCATAATAATAAGTCCAATAGTGATATGCCAACCTTTATTCTTACCAAGCTCAACCCCATATACCCAATACTCAAAAACTCACACCCAATACTCAATACAATAATGGCGGCTAATAATTCCACTATCCACTACTCAAATATCCTGTATAATCGGTGTGAAATCCGCGCTGGGACGTGTAACCAAAGGAACGAAGCCCAACGAAGGGATCGGAACCTCCAAATTCATTACACGGTAAATGAAAACCTAGGAGACCCCAGGCAGGGACCCACCCCTTGGTTTACTCAAGCTCAGAACTTAGTCAAGAATTGAGGCACTGCGTAGAGCCCCCCCCCCCCCCCCCAAGTCAACGAAAAGAGTGGAAAGGAACCGTGAACAAATAAACCAAAATGGGCGAGAAAACACGTGGAAGTATTGGCGGCCACAGAGTACACAATCTGAAAGCCCTCGACACTTAACCTATTCAAATTCGAATTCCCTCGTGTTTTACACAGTTTTTGAATGAAATGTTTACAAAAACGCATCAACTCATGGCCGGTAAATTAATGCTCTGGGATGGACTCCAGAATTCAAGCCCATTTGAACACGAAATTTCTGTATTTAGAACATGAATATCGAAGTCTTGCCGAGTTCCTTGAACTCCAGGCACACAAAATTCCAAAGTTTTCTCGCAAGCTAGCCGAGTTCTTTGAGCTTCAGGCCTACACAAACGTATTCTCAACCTTTCTCGTGAGCTAGCCGAGTTCCCTCGTGGATACAAAACACAGCTCTGCTCGCGGCTCTCCAGGCAGCATTGACTCTCCAGGCCAACCTAACTCAAGTTATTACGCGACATACTCGGGGCTCACTAGGCTGTTAGCTTTACTCATATTGCCTCCCAACGCCACTCTAACTCAAATTATTACGCCACGTGAGCTCTCAGTACAAATAATATCTTTGAAATTGTCTTTGCACCGGCAAAACGAAACAAATAGAATACAACAAACCTAAACTTTGTCCCACAATACCTGCCGTCAGCATAAGCTTTTTAAGTCCCGTCTGTATTTCATCAGCATGCATAGAGCACTAGAATGTTAGCCTCTGGCTGGTGGCAGTGGTAGGGACAGCGAGAAAAATTCGTACTTCGAAGGTCCAAACGACGTTATGCAATAAGTCATGTGTGTCGACTTAATTTATACTGTAATAATTTATTCAGTAATAATAGTATTGTTTATTTGATAGAGTGCAAACAATATAACC